TGTTTCTTTAAGGTCAGAACAACAGAACTTTGACTTTTGGTTTAGTCCTGGTTGTGTGTTGTTGTTGTTCTTGCTTGTGTTGACTGTGTGTGTGTGTGTGTGTTTGTTGTGTGTGTGTGCGTCAGGACCTGACGGTGGACGACCCTGGAGCGCCCCCTGTGGAGCGTTTGTCTCACAGGGTTAAATGGAGCGTCCTGACGGAGGCGGGGCCTCGCACCGTCCTCGTGGCTCTGGAGGGAAAAGTCCAGGTCTCTGAGGACTTCGTGGACCGGGCCAGTCTGCCAGAGTACCCCCCGCCCCCCTCCGCCCAGGCCGGCCCCCTGGACCCCCCCTCCGCCCAGGCCGGCCCCCTGGACCCCCCTCCGCCCAGGCCGGCCCCCTGGACGTGTCCCTGCTCCTGTCGTCTCTGCGTCGCTCGGACTCGGGGGTTTACAGGTGTGAGGTGCAGAGAGGCATAGAGGATCATCACCAAGACGTCACCGTCAACGTCACCGGTACAAACTCCTCTGCTCCTCCTCTACTCCTCCTCTGCTCCTCTACACCTCCTCTGCTCTCCTCTTACTCCTCCTCTGCTCTCTACTCCTCCTCTGCTCCTCTAACCTCCTCCTGCTCCTCCTCTACTCTCCTCTGCTCCTCTACACCTCCTCTGCTCCTCCTCTACCCTCCTCCTCTGCTCTCTCTCACCTCCTCTCCCTCCTCCTCTCCTCTCTGCTCCTCTACACCTCCTCTGCTTCTCTACACCTCCTCTGCACCCCTCTACTCCTCCTCTGCTCCCTTGCACCTCCTCTGCACCTCTACTCCTCCTCTACACCTCTACTCCTCCTACACCCCTACACCTCCTCTACACCTCCTCTGCTCCTCCTCTCTCCTCTACCCTCCTCTACACCTCTACACCTCCTCTAGCACCTTCCTCTTGCTCCTCTACACCTCCTCTGCACCTCCTCTCCTCCTCCTCTACCTCCTCCTCCTCTCTACTCCTCTACACCTCCTCTGCTCCTCTACACCTCCTCTGCACCTCCTCTACTCCTCCTCTGCTCCTCTGCACCTCCTCTGCACCTCACTCCTCCTCTACACCTCTACACCTCCTCTACACCTCCTCTGCTCCTCTACTCCTCCTCTACACCTCTACACCTCCTCTACACCTCCTCTGCTCCTCTACTCCTCCTCTACACCTCTACACCTCCTCTACACCCTCTGCTCCTCTGCTCCTCCTCTCCTCTACACCTCCTCTGCTCCTCCTCTACTCCTCCTCTGCTCCTCTACACCTCCTCTGCTCCTCTACACCTCCTCTACTCCTCCTCTGCTCCTCTACACCTCCTCTGCTCCTCTACACCTCCTCTCTCTCCTCTACTCCTCCTCTGCTCCTCTACTCCTCCTCTGCTCCTCCTCTACTCCTCCTCTGCTCCTCTACACCTCCTCTGCTCCTCCTCTTACTCCTCCTCTGCTCCTCTACACCTCCTCTGCTCCTCCTCTACTCCTCCTCTGCTCCTCTACACCTCCTCTGCTCCTCTACACCTCCTCTGCACCTCCTCTACTCCTCCTCTGCTCCTCTGCACCTCCTCTGCACCTCTACTCCTCCTCTACACCTCTACTCCTCCTCTACACCTCTACACCTCCTCTACACCTCCTCTGCTCCTCTACACCTCCTCTACACCTCCTCTGCTCCTCTACTCCTCCTCTACACCTCTACACCTCCTCTACACCTCCTCTGCTCCTCTACACCTCCTCTGCACCTCCTCTGCACCTCCTCTGCTCCTCTACTCCTCCTCTCTCCTCTACTCCTCTACCCTCCTCTCTCTCTACCTCCTCTACCTCCCCTCCTCCTCTCTCTCTCCTCCTCTACTCCTCTACACCTCTCTACACCTCCTCTCCTCCTCACCTCCTCTGCTCCTCTACTCCTCCTCTCTACACCTCTACACCTCCTCTACTCCTCCTCTGCTCCTCTACTCCTCCTCTACACCTCTACACCTCCTCTACACCTCCTCTGCTCCTCTACTCCCTCTCTCACCTCTACACCTCCTCTACACCTCCTCTCTCCTCTACACCTCCTCTGCACCTCCTCTGCACCTCCTGTACACCTCCTCTACACCTCCTCTGCTCCTCTACACTCCTCCTCTCTACTCCTCCTCTACACCTCCTCTACACCTCCTTTACTCCTCCTCTGCTCCTCTACACCTCCTCTACTCCTCCTCTGCACCTCCTCTACACCTCCTCTGCATCTCCTCTGCTCCTCTACACCTCCTCTGCACCTCCTCTACTCCTCCTCTACACCTCCTTTACTCCTCCTCTGCTCCTCTACACCTCCTCTACTCCTCCTCTACACCTCCTCTACACCTCCTTTACTCCTCCTCTGCTCCTCTGCACCTCCTCTGCTCCTCTACTCCTCCTCTACACCTCTACACCTCCTCTACACCTCCTCTGCTCCTCTACTCCTCCTCTACACCTCTACACCTCCTCTACACCTCCTCTACTCCTCTACACCTCCTCTGCACCTCCTCTG